AAATCTAATGATATAGATTTTCGTAATCTATAGACTCTAGCTCATCCACGGCAAGCAACGTAGAACATTCTTCCATTGTTGCAAGTGTGGTTGGCAACATTGCCATAACAATGATGGTGTTCTTCCCAGAGCAATCTCTCTTTAAAATGTCTAGATTACCCTTCCTAAAGTTTGACCCATTTCCACTATCCTCACTCTCTATTTTCTTTCTTTCTTTCGTTATAACCTCCGCTCAGGATCTCTCTCAAGCCTTACAGCTCCCAGCCCAACTTGTAATAGGTAAATAATGAAACAACCCACCCTAACCGCATAGCCATTCTTGGGTTTCAATCGAGAAATAGAAAGGAAAATGTTGCCACAATTATGAGCATAAACATCAGAGTCAAGAATTTGGAGGTTTATGAGCATATCCTTGATATCAAGGATCCCGGGAAAAAATTTAACCATTATTTGCTAAAAATGTCCATCAATGCTGTTGATTAAAACAGGAAGAGGAAACCACATGTAACCTCACCACGTACCACTGGGGATTTCCAACATAACTAAACTCTCATGTACAAACTTTAAAATCAATGACTCGGACTTGGATGTTTAATCATCTTTGGCAAAATATTTATTCGATGCTGTGGTTTGGTTGGAAAGGCAGTAAAACACAGTTCATTGGGTTTTCAAGAGGAAAGTGTAGCCAACTGTGAGTGGCCGACCAAGATGGTGGATGAAAGGGCATGGGATGTACTGCCTCTGTGAATCATGGTGGCCTTGTTGGATACTCAATTTAGGGAGGGGGATTTGCAGGAGAGAGCAGAACATTACTGGTTGGGGAGCGGAGGTCCTGATGGTGGTTGATGGGCTACATGCGTCGGCAGGAAATAGGAAACAAAGCAGGGGAGATGGCAAAGTTGGAAGTGAATTTGGGTTGACCTTCATAAGGGTAATTTAGGCATTTACAGAGATATTGCTCTGGCACTGGCAGGAAAATTTCTGCACTTGTAATAATATCGCAAGCCCTGCAAGTGCAACTACATTTGAATTTATATTAGTCTGTTCTCGAGGCTAATTTTGAGTTAGAGTAACAAAGTTATATGTTTCTAACGGATGTTTAATGACATTTGTTGAGATACCTAAATCACATCTAAGTTACTACGTGAAGACACACACTCATATTAATTTATTGCCCCTTTTGAATCGTGACACTTTCTCGGAGTAATTCTAAAAAACTTACACCTGAACTCCCTCTTAACGAATGCCCATTAAGCACCTGTTAGCCAACCGAACCGATAGTGTTTTTTTATTTTTTCATTGAAAAAAGAAAAGAAAAGAAAAGAAGTATCTTTTGGTTAAGGACAATCAGCTTTACAACGGACCATGTAGACCAGATGATGTTGAGGGAGCAGTCCAGAACACTAAACAAGTAAACATGTTCTGAATTCATTGCCCAGATGCAGATGACAACGTTTCACAGAACATCTTTTTTGGTCCCACATGAACATTTGCTCAACCTTTGGTTTGTAGAGGGTCCTCGTTCGGACTCGTATATCCATTTTTGTGCATGCATTTTGAGAATATGGTTTGCTTCGAAATTCATTTTATGTGTAAAAATGCTCTAAAATTATGTGCCAACTGCCAAGGAGGAGGCTCAGATGAACTTTCAGGCAACCTAAAGTTAAGTGTCTACTTTCTTGAAATCTTTGAGCAATCTAGAACCGCAAATTGTTATTGACAAACTAAGCATCTCCAATCACTATGGAACATTATTGTAATGAGTGTTTCTTGACTTCTAAAGTGATACAGAAGCCATTTACAGCCTGGAAATGGCTGAGGCTCATGTAAAGAGGGTCAATGGGGGATTGTTGTCTAAGAGACAGCAACTCATCAGCTTTTTGGTTTAGAAAATGTGGTGACAATCCCATGGGATTGTGGGAAAAAATCATAGGACAAAAGACCCTACATAAATTATTGGAATGGATTTTAACATTATGGAAGTAGCTTAGATAATCCCTGCCCTGGTTGATTGATTCCGTTACGTTGCCCTGTGTGTTGCAGGTTTTTTCATGCTTCCTGGAATACTTGTTTGAGGTTAGGAAATTTGGATATGGTATTATTTGAAATATTATTTGGAATAATTACTGTAGCACTTTTTGTGATGTGATGTATGTGAGATAAAAAGGTGGTTGGGAATATAAAAAGGTGGGTCGGAAAATGTGTGTACGATGCAAGCGAAATATTATTTGGGATAAGTTTTGTATCCAAACACTCCACATGTTTGAATACACCCTCTTGAGATAAATTGAATTTGCCATGAAATTGAGTTCCAGCAGAGAGGGAGACTGCTCTATCCTCCAACATTATATTTTTCAAATAAAAGTAAAAATTAAATGAAAGAAAGCTGTGATTTTCTAGGTTAAATGGAAAATATGTACACTATTATGTTGATATATATATATATATATATATATATATATATATATATATATTCTGTGTTCTTTGGACATTCGATAAGCACATAAAAAAGAGTAGGTGGACCCACTAAAAATTTCAAATAGTATTTTAATCATATCATAAATACATTTTTTGACTATCTTTTTATCTCACATATAACTTAAAATCGGACGCAGCTCTCATCATGTGCACTAAGGACATACAATTGAAAAACCCAGTACTTAATTAACTCCGAACCATTTGGATTGCATTTTTTGGGGAGTTTATGGAGAAAAATTATTATAACACTTTTTAAGAATGTGATGTATATGAGGTAAAAAGATGAATGAAAATTGTGTAGAAAGAATATTTATGGAAAAACATTTTCTCCAAAATGTCACAATCTAAACAAGGCTAGATTCTAAAGAAGGTGGTGCACGTTTTGGTGAGGAACACATCGGCCCTTGTGTTCTTACCAGTTCCAGTTTCCGTGGGCCAAATACGAACACATATTATTGTTTGGGTTGTTAGATTGATCAGGTCCAAGCCTGTCCCACTCGAAGGAAAAGTCCTTTTCCCCACTCCCAGCCTGGCTAAATACGATTCAGGTTCCGCTTAATTAATCCTATAACATTCAAAATAAATACATAAATTTCTCTTCATAGTTTATAAATTATATTGACCCCCTCATCATTTTTAAATATTTTGTTTTGGCTATTACTTGTAGAGTTGAATTTCAATGAGATCCATCCCCTACAATTAGTGGCCGAGCCACCGCCACGTTGAGTTGAGGGGGTGAAATTTTAATTTTTTAGAAACTCTAAAATAGCGTATAAAAATTTTAAAAATTAGAGTATTGCCTCATTCTTATCCCTTCTGAATTTTGATAGTAGTCCCTTTAATCTCATAATTGTCCCCCCGAAATTGTTGAAATCTTTTACAATTGTCCTCTCCATTTTCACATTTTGAACCTTGAACTAAAATATATTTATATGATGCTATTTTCCCCTTTCTATTAAACTAAACGTAATTTTTTTTTTTTTTGGTAAGCAAATGCTATTTATTAATATTGAACTTTTATTACGTGTTGATTTCACATGAATTACAAGCCAACCAACCATTCATTCATTTGACAGTTCAATTGTGTACAATTTATTTGCCTATATTGCATATGTTAATATTTTTATGCATAATTTTATACCGTTGGATGAGCTGAAAAATAATGAAAATCTCCGACCTATTCTAATAGCCCGAAGGAATCATAAAACATGCTAACATTTTTAGGTTGTGTTTGGATTGCATTTTCCGTCATTTTTCATGGAAAAATTACTGTAGTGATTTGATATATGTGAGAGAAAAAGGTGATCACGAAAATAACAATATTTTCCGATAGAAACAAGCAATCCAAACAAAGCCTTAGTTTCAATTGAAGAAATCCCTCCAAAGTCATGCTCGAATGATCATATCCACTTCTTTACCAAAAGTACTGGTATATATTCTCCTACTGCAAAACAATTTAAAAAGTGGAAGGGTTTCAAAGGGTTAGTTCATTTAGAAAAAGAAAATGTAGAACGAGTGACAAAAAGCTTGGAGGTGGATCGCTTAATGAGGGAGGACTAAACATGATTTGTTACTAGCTACAGTTGCTGTACCCAAAAAAAAAAAAAAAACTAAAAATTAAAATAAAAACAAGTAAAAAAATAGCATATCCACTAAATAGTTCCTTCATTTGGAGTTCCATGTCCGAAATTGGCAGGTGCATGAACTTATTAATTGTCATTTTTAGAGAAATTAAGTAAAAAATAAACGAGATTAAGGAAAGTAATTATTTTGCAATTCCATTTAGTTCTTACCATGCTGGTACTTTTCCCTGTATATATCAAGAATGTCACCTACTCTAACAACACATAATAAGGCGCATTAAGACGAAAAATCCAGGCGCAAAAATCGTGTTTAATCTATCATTTCCCCGGGAGCTGTCTGTCCATATCAGGAATCACAAACTATGGTTGACCTAACTAAGGAAAACAACTAACCAGATAAATCAGAAAGGAAATCATTTGTGCACTATGAAATTTTGGATGCAAAATTATGATAAGGATTTCATCAAATAATAATTATACTTGCCGTTACAATATGAAAATAAATCACATCACATACCAAGGTGTTATTCGGCTTACCATAATAATTCAAAGTAAAATACGCGGCGTCAAGCTTATTGAGCACCTCCAAGTTAAGTTGAAACTCGAAATTTGGATTATTTTTAACGTTAAATTGAACTCGAGTCGAGTTATAATTAATTCACGTCAAGGCTGAGTCAGAGTTTTCACCAACCACGTTCACACCCTGCAGTACTCCTTTTTCTTCCAGAATAATCTATGTGATGTTCCATAGACTGTCAAAAGTTTTCCTTTTATGCTCAATAATCTAGAGGAATTAATTAAAATACTTCCATACACGAAAATTTGATTTTTCTTTAATTTCCTTAGTTGAGCAGGGTTCTGGCTGATCATTCTTATCTAAATAGTGCATATAAGCAGGAGCAAATCTTCTCTAAACTTTGTCCCCATCCTACCCACGCTTTTCTATATAAAGCACAACGTCCAGAGTCCAATTCAAACTCAGAATTGAATAGGCGGAAAGAAACATTTTAACTACAGCACCAAGAACAAAACTAACTTCCTCAACTGTTTCTGAGAGAGAGAGAGAGAGAGAGGGAGATGGAGCAAGGGAAAGTCTTTATACATATCTTCATCTGTCTCCTTACTCTACTCTCTTGCATCCTTGTCCTGAAAGCCAAGAGAATATTTTCATACATGTCCTTAATCCTGGAAAAGGAGAAAGTAGTAACCTGGCGAAAGTCTAGGCTCCCTCCAGGCTCAATGGGGTGGCCTTGTATAGGAGAAACTCTGCAACTTTATTCTCAAGATCCCAACGTCTTTTTTACTGATAGACAAAGAAGGTTTCGTGTCATCAACTTTTGTACATTTTTGCATGATGATTATCTTGTTAATTTACTAAACACTGGATGGATGAGTGTAATTTCGTCGAATTGGATGATTTCTGTTCCAGGTATGGAGAAGTCTTCAAGACTAACATTTTAGGTTGTCCTAGTGTGATGCTGGCTAGCCCTGACGCAGCTCGATTTGTGTTGGTGACTAAAGCTAACTTATTCAAGCCTACATATCCCAGGTGTAAGGAGGTTTTGATAGGCCCTTCCGCCCTGTTTTTCCACCAAGGAGATTACCACATGCGCCTGAGAAAGCTGGTGCAAAGCTCCTTATATCCTGAGGCTATTCGTAATCTTGTCAATGATGTTGAAGCTATTGCAATCGCTACGTTGGAGTCCGTTGCAGGGGGCCATGTTCTTAACACTTTTGATGAAATGAAAAGGGTTGGTATATCAGTAAAATCTCAATGATAGATTTTTAGGAGGACTGGAGAAAATAGATTTCCTGTTTTCCTCTGCATTATTGCTATCACTTTTCTTAATAAAATTACTTATGATTGAATTGTCCAGTACTCATTCGAAGTGGGCATTCTCGCTATTTTTGGTCATTTGGAAGCCCCACGTAAAGAAGCATTGAAGCAAAACTATAGCATTGTGGATAAAGGTTACAATTCTTTCCCAACAAAATTTCCTGGAACTCGTTACAGAAGGGCCTTACAGGTAAACAAACCATAGAAAATGTCATTGTCAATAGGACATTATTGTGCCACTACATTAGTGAAAGTGACGTGTTAAAACAGTTAACTGCATCGATCATGTTATATCCTTTCAAATGATCTATACTGTCTTTGTTAGTAATTGGAAACTTACCAATTTGTACTATCAATTGGCTGTTTTTGCCCTTTGAAGGCAAGGAAAAGGCTAAGTGAAATCCTCAGCACGATCATAAGTGAAAGGAAGGAACAAAGAACACCTGAGAAAGACCTGTTGGGATGTCTTCTGAATTACAAAGATGAAAATGGTGAAGTCCTGAAGGAGGATCAGATTGCAGATAACATCATTGGTGTTCTATTTGCCGCCCAGGATACTACAGCCAGTGTCATGACATGGATAGTCAAGTACCTCCACGATAACCCGAAACTTCTGAAGGCTGTAAAGGTGCATTCCAGAATATCGTCACATTTTCTTTTCTACTAAAAGGGAAATAAAAGGAGCCCCTCATTGTCCATTCGCTGTGTCTTGGACTTAAACTTTGATATTAGGGACACTGTCATGATTGCATTCAATGTCTAAAATGTCTGTGCAGGCCGAACAGAAGGCTATCTACCAATCAAATACCAAAGAACATTGTCAGTTGACATGGGCTCAGACTAGAGAGATGCCATTAACTTACAAGGTATATGAGAATGTGCAAATGGGGTCCCTTTTTTTTTCCCACTTTTTCTTTACCTCTTATGAAGTTGGAATAACTGTATTTGGTAACAATGTGTGCCCTCAGGTCATCTTAGAGAGCTTAAGAATTGCAAGCATTATATCTTTCACATTTAGGGAAGCAGTAGCTGATGTAGAGTACAAAGGTAAAGCTTATAGGAAGTGAATTATTTTCTAGCAACTAATTGATCTGGGATTAAAGTATGATTTCTGGGTTTGAGTCAGAGTTCTCCTTTTCTAGATGAAAATGTTTATATATACACTTCTTTTCTGACGAAAGATGTGGAGGAACTGAAAACTCATGATTATGTCAGGGTACCTTATTCCAAAAGGTTGGAAGGTAATGCCTTTGTTCAGGAATATTCATCACAATCAAGAATTCTTTACTGAACCCCAGAGATTTGATGCTTCAAGATTTGAGGTACAGAATCAGAATTTATTTGGCCAAACTCCCAAATGCAAAACGTCTAAAGATCTTTCCTTAAAGCGCCAATTTACTTGGTCCAGATTTTGCATAAGTAACAGCTAACAAGATCAAGATCCTGTTCTAAAATGCCCTGTGTTGCACTCGTATAGGTTGCCCCAAAGCCCAACACTTTTATGCCATTTGGCAGCGGAGCACACGCCTGTCCTGGTAATGAGCTTGCAAAGCTGGAAATGCTCGTACTGATCCACCACCTAGTCTCCAAGTTCAGGTTTTTTTTTTGCCAAATCTTGCACAAAAAAAAAAGCCACCTTATCTAAGAATGACCAATGGTAGTATAATGATATACCGGTATTACTAGCAGTTATGTTCGAGTTGAGTGCTCGACGATTTTTTACGGGAATTTTCAGTGGGTCGTTGTTTGTGTATTGTAGGTGGGAAGTGGTGGGATCTAATAATGGAGTTCAGTATGGTCCATTTCCGGTCCCTCTGCGTGGACTCCCAACCAGATTATGGAAAGAATCTACCGCCTAGCACCAAAGGACAAGAAGGAGCAGCCTGGCTTCTTGCGACGGCACATCCATCCCCTTCATCGAATTTTATCAATTAGATTCAGTTAGTACAAGGAAATTCTCTCTAACTCTATCCCATCGCAAAGGAAATCGGGAATAGATTAAAGATCTCCCATTTTCTTTCAATGATGACAAGTTATGTTCTTCATTCTCATTTCTCAATCAAGAATTTCATTTTACATCTCTCCCTTACTTTGCCTACTTTTACAGATTGCAACTTGTGCCCATTTTACATTGGAAGAATCTTGAATTCGATAAAGAGCTAACCTTCGAAACAAAAGAGGGTAGACTTTCATTTCAGGAATCATTCCTTTTACACTGTCTCGGCATTGTTATCCTATTGCGTTTGTGCGCTCGAAATTTGATTTGAGCCCTCTTGTTTGTTCGGGTAGAATAGATCATATAATGTTCTTGTTTTTTTCGACGTGTGTCTAGCTCCATGCTAAAAGGTTCTTCACTTGAGGATACAAAGGTACCCAAGTGTTTATAGTCTCATTGGTTTCTGTAAAGGGGATGCGGCCGTCAGCTGTAAGGCACAATCTAAAAGCGTCCTGCCTTTACTTTGTTGACCAAAACCAGGCTCGGCCAGAGCTTTGTAAACAGGGGATGCTAAACTGTGGCTGCTAGAGCTTTGTAATTGTATTCGAGGAGAGTAATGTGAATTTTCAGTTTAGTGGCTCTACTGATGATATTTCACAACGGTTGTGGCCCAAAGTCAGAGCTCTTAGTCTCTGGAGATATCAGATTCCTTGACTCTGCTTGATTGCCATCCCAGTTCAACAATCCATAATGTTCCTCTGTCTAATGGTCAAGCCTCGACTTATCTATGATAACTTCAAGCAACTAGAACGAGCACAAGGCCCCAGAATATTCTTAGATCATGAATTCCAACTTCCAAGCAAGCCAATGACCTTCAAAGGTTCTTCTTTGCCCGTAAATCTTAAGTCTCCACATAGCGCTGATCATTTTCACCATGCATGTACATGTTTTAAGCTGCTCTAAGTACACAGTACTGGTGATACCAAAATTTTGAACTTATAGTTTTCGAACACTAAAAAAAGGAAAATGAAACTTTGAACTTGTAGTTTTTGAACACTACAAAAAGGAAAATGAAGCTTCTCAGAGGGGTAATTTAGTGCATAACCTGTAGCATAAACAGATAACCAACGAATGTTTAGTAAATCATTCTAGTGAGACAGGTGCTGCAGTTCTTTTCTCTGCCTCCAGATATGAAGTCTGGCAAGAATAAGATGTCTCCCGCAGTTTATGCTGGAGTACAACTAGTCTTTAAATTAATCTGAAGCAACTTGTTCAGATGTTTGATGTTATACACATATAATGATTTTCATCAGGAACAACGGCCAATGTCTTCAAAACGTGTTTAGAGTCTCTTTAATATTTCCCGTGGAAACTTCTCAAAAGACTAAGCAGATATATACTGGTTGAGAAGATGCTCATAATTCAGTCCCAAATAAGGAAGATCTTCTCAACGGTATGCAGAGGTTCATTTCCTCTTCCCCTACCTCAGATAAAACAGCTTCCTATCATTAGCACCTCCACCGGAACTTCTTAGTAAATATCAAGTGAGCACCTATTCATCCAACTCAAAACCAATTGGTTATGAGTGGAGCTTTTGTTGATAGTTTGAAAGTCCTTCGGCATGTCGGATGCGGTCCCGTGACATCAAAGGACCCTACTATTCCCAGACACCATCTACCAACGTTTTCTGGAATGTGTCATCTTAAGATATGCTTTTCTTTTTCCTTTTTGTTCCCCAAGAGAGAAAGGATCTTCTCTGCGGTGAGAATGGATTCTGTTAACTGAAATGAATTTCATGATCAACTAAATCATCTGAGTTTCAGATATCTTGGGGGGCTTTTTTTCACTATTATTTTCCCTTCAAGTGCTTCTTTCATTCGCATCGTCAAGCTCAAGTTCCTCTAAAGACAAGTGTATTTGCCTAGGCAGAATGCAACCACAGGCATAGCAGAACAAATAGGCTGTTGCTTTATTTTCCAGGCAGAATACGCAAGTAGATTAGAGATTCACTTTGCCTCCTACACTATTTACCTTACAAATACAAGACTCTGAAATATAATGTTGCAGCTGTAGCGGGTAACAAGAAAAGTATAGGAGTCTTCTTGTGCCCAGATATGGATACCAATATGCACATGTGAAAGTATGTTTTCAGAGCCTACCCAGATTAGCTAAAGCATCTTCACTAGGCGCACTGGTGTATTTAAGAATGGCTGCCAGTATCCTTTCTTTGTCTCTGGTTGCAAAGGCCTCCAACAGCGTTCCATTCTTGTAAAAGTGGAAAAGGGGCACTGACTGCATGAAATAGATGAAGGCTATTAGAGAAGTTTGCGGATGGTAAAGTGCTCCAACTGCAAGGAGAGATGTGAAATTTTCCATTTTGGATAATGATGCAGTTGAATGTAATCATAATGTTCCCTCAAACAAAGATGAACAAGCTTTGTTTGTCCTTAGATTTTTCAACACTAGTGGCAAATGTAACTGAAATGTTTTAAACCTGATTTGATGCTTCCAACTACTAAGTTCACATCCAAACTCAGAATTACAAGAAAACTGTCTTAAAACAATATACCCTTATTCGCAGTCGTTCAGCAACCTCAGATTCGTCATCATATTCATTTATTACCTGCAGAAGCTATCACAAATAAGTACTCTAATTTGATTGAATTGGATAGAAAAATGCAAAATATTCATGCTGTTGCTTACAGATTTTGACCTTTTCTCAAAAAACTAAACACTTACTTTTTCTAAACTTATTGGAAGCAGCATTAACGTGCAAAATGTATTCTCAAGTTATAGATACTAAGCATCTATATAGCTGGTAAGCATCTTTCATGTTTATCAACAATGTTCTCTACCTTTTGAAATCAAGTAAAACAAAATAAACTACGAGGTTGAAAAAAATGCTCACATTGTGCTTCAAGAATATAACTGGTGCCTCTTGATCACCAGATCCCTTGCATAATTTAGCAAAACCTTGCTCTATGTACTTGCAACTGCCACAAGAAGTCCGGTAGAAGTCTACAACAACTAAAGTATTTGTTTTCTCGGCCTTTTCAAGGATTTGGAAGAATTCTTCATTGGTTTGGAATTCCTTCACACAATCAACAGGGCAAAGCTCATCATCTTCATCAGATAATTCTTCATCATTTTCACTAGTTGCAGCCTTGGTTTTTATAGATCGAATCGTGCTATTTGGGGTCGATAGGACCAAATCTGTATGTCTACATGAAAATCTTGGATTCATAGCACATAATTCTGCAATTTTCCTCTCTAATAATGGATTGGAAACAATTTGAATTGCTCTTATTAGATGCCTGTGAGGTTGCCCACCAGAACTCGAAGAGACAGCCTGGCAAAACACTCCCAGCTTTTGCATGGCAGCATACAGCAATTCTTCGAAAAAGAACCGTACAATTCATCCAACAGGTGAAGTTTTCTTGAGGGAATCCTTTGGCCTCCCGAAACTTTAGTCATGCCTGGCAGCTGGCAGATCAGCACCCGTTATATGCTTCATCTTTTAACTTGCTTCCAGATTTTTTAACATGCAGGTACCTTTCAGAGAAATAACAAAAATCAAGCAGTTGACCATGAATCACATCATGCTCAAGCAATACCATTGGTCTGGCCAATTAAGGAGGTTTCAAAGACAAAAGTACGAAGAAGATATATAACCTACCACGGCTGAAAATTTTTTAGGGGGAATACAAGAATGCAGCTAGTTTGCATAGTTAGAAAAGTGAAACAAATGGTACCATATTGACAGAAAAAAGTAGACTATCAAGCGTAATTTCGCGTTGGGAAAACCGAGCAGAAATATAAATAGTAGTACAAACTAAGTTTTCCTTCACGTAAAAAAGTACAAGAAAATGGAGAGACAGCAGAACAAGATTAGACTCGTACAAATGGTCACATTCACATATGCAGCCCCATCAGTTCTAAAGCAGTTCGCATTTGGAACTCTATAACTTCTATCCTTGCATCGCATATCTGCGAGTATATTAATCTTCTTTTTGATTGATAGCAATTTCATTGCATAACATATTGCACAAAACATAATGATTTTAGGTCAGAATAACGTCTAAACAGCAGGAAATGCTAAGTTTCAATTATATCCGTCCCCTTAAATTTTAGACCCTTGGGCGATATTTTTGCCATCAGAGTTCAAAACAGAAACATAACACGTTGGCTCTCATACAAAAGCAATCTTGTGGTCTTGCACATGAAGATATGAATGAAGACTGCAATTATCAAAGTAGAAACAAGATGGGTTTCATGTAAGCTCCACTATGCATGCGATTCATCAAAACTGAAGCCAGTTTAATCCACTTATAGCATCAAGAAACATCAACGTCCAGCCCCATTTCTCTTTTCATCAATTTACCAGGCAAAAGCATCAGTTCAAATGTTCAATACAAACAAGCATAACAGGGTCTAGCAAATAAAGCTCGAACTCGATATAAAAACCACTGCAGAAAACAGCCGAGAGAAAATAATAGATTTGAGCAGAAATTACCACTTACCAGTTCTATCTCTCCTTTAAAGTTTGCGCGCGAGATCAACAAAGGAGTAGCAGTACTTGATTACCAGAAATTGTTTACTATTTGTTCTTTATTTTTGTTTTCGGATAAGATAAATACGATTGGCCAATATCACTTGCACAGTTGCACGTTGTAATTTCAACTACTGGTGCAATGGCTAGTCAATCAGACAATGCTTGGAAAGTCTATTTTGCAATTTGCCACCTCGTTTGTACTTGTTTTCTCAATCAATCCCACGAATGTTTCTTTTGACCGCCCTTTTTTTTCCTCCTTTTGTGGTAGAAGCAAGAGTTACGTTTCTTTCAACTGAATACTGGACATTACCATTACTCGTTGCCACGAGCTATTTGGATAGGATATTATTTGAAATAATATTTTAAAAAAATATTATATATGTTTTGTAATATAATATATATAAGATAAGAAAATGATTAAAAAATAAAAATAATTAAAAATATATTTATGAGCCAACCAAATATTAATTTTACAAATAAAATTATATTCAAACAAACAGTATACTAACACTAGGAACTTTCGTAGCTCCATGAGACAATCAAAATTTTAATATTCGGTTTAAGGCTGTATACAAATCGAGCCGCTCGCAAGCGGCTTGAATACGAGTTCAACTCGAGCTCGAGTTCAAAAACATTAAACTCGTTTGCAAGTTCGATTACATATTTATTTTTTATTTTAATAGTACAATTTCATATATATTCTTATTATTTTATTATTTATTAAGAAAAATTATTTTTAAAAAATAATTATTTTTTATTTTTTAAAAATAAAATAATTATAATTTTTTTTATTTTTTAAACTCGAGTTCGAATTTGATATTTTGAACTCATCGAGCTCGAGCTTTATAAAATTAACTGAAGACTAGAGTCGATTAAATCAAAACTCGAATCGACTTGACTTGTTTGCACCTCTAATTCGATTTACTTTATAGAGAGCACTTATCACTCCCATTTGAGGTAGTCTATGATGCATGCGATCCATATGTGGATTGTAAATGTCAAGAAATCTCATGCTCTTTAGCATGATGCTTGAAAAATCAAGAAAACGTCACAATCGAATAGTAATATTGTGATTTGTAACCATTATGTTTATATATATGTATATACTGCTAATTCATCTAAAATTACCAATGAGCATGAGACTCTCCTACTTTTCTTTTTTGGTCAATACGATAGCTTCTTACACTATGGGAAGGGGAGGGCCTGAAGAGGTTTTGGGGTATTCCCGAAGGGACTAAATCATCACCGGACCAGATGAGTGCACTACTTACATATCACTTATTGTTCTAACAATTGTTGCAAAAACCTTTGGTTTTCGTGAAAGAAGAGAAACGAAGGGAATAAGGGGCTCAAACGATTATCAGGAAATCCGTTCAGGATAATTTTGTGTAAAATGCACACTACATAACTCTATCTACACACGGCGTAACTCACTTTCAATAACGTATAATTATAGAACAAAATTTTGTGTGCTTCACACATGATATGAAAAACGAAATATAAAATGAAATCTAGATCTTACATTTTTTTTTTTGTGACAAATCTTGACCATGAACTTTTAGGGAAGCAGCCTGCCCCTCTTCGGAAGGAAAAAGATAGCAAAAGAAAACAATTAAATAGATAGGTGCAGCGGGGCGGGGGATGGGAGAGGGGTCCCCCGCCCCGCCCCATAACCAATTAATAACTTGTATTAGTACCCATATATAATTATTAGTATAATTAATAATATCAATTATATTATATATACTAGTAGACATTATATAATACATATAACTAATAATATCATTATCATAAGTTTGTAATTAATTAAATTATATATTATATATAATTATATACATATATATTTTATATATTTATTTTTTTAAAGCAGGTGGCGGGGCAGGGGAGTGCCGTTTCTAAGCAGGAGGGGAAAAATTCCCCCACCCCCACCCCCAACCCCCTCCTCGTTAGCCCCCCACGGGGTGGGTACCCGCCCCCATTGCCATCCCTACTTAGCACCCTCAAATGAGGGTGGAATCATATGCTAATATTAAAGGTGAAGAATTGTCAATAATACCCTTATATTTAAATTTTCTAAACTTGTTTTTCTTTCTTTAAATTTCGTGCTTTAACAATGTTTATACACACATAAATATATTCACACACACTCACATATATATATATATATTTTTATATAATTGAATTGTAAATGTCAATGAAATATAGGATTTAATCCATGAAATATTTAACACATTTGGAGAAAAATAGCTACAGATTCTTTTTTTTCCCCTTTTTTGTGTTTAACAACTATGTTTATCTATTATTTATTTATTTGCTCCTATTCATGTAGAGCTAGAGAGAAATTAAGTAATGAAACTCCAGACCCTGTTGGTTTTCAAATTCTGGCTTTTCATTTTTATAATAAAATTTTCATCTTTCGCACTCATATAAAAGTTAGTCTAGTTTGAGTATATTCTTTGTATGATATTACAGTTGAATTTCATCTATTGTTGAGTTTTTTTGCTAAAATGTATGAGTTTTACATACTAATTGTTTTCAACACTATTGAGGATTTTATTTGTAGAAATAGTTTAAATAATAGTATTTGCTTTTACTATTTCTCTCGCCTGTAGAAGTAACTATTGACAGTAACATAAATCATTATCAACTTTCATCTTTTCACTTTTGAGATGGTTTCAATTTAGTACTTTTTCTTTGGTTTGTAAAATTGTTCATTTTTTTTATAGTCTAAGGGTATCAAGGACACTAAAATAGTCTTTCTCCTTAAACATGAATTTTCTAATATTACTTTTGATCAGGAGGGTTGACAATGTTATTAAAATGTCAATTCGAAGGGGCCTAAGTAAGATTTTGAAAATCTCAAGAAAACTAATGCCTTGTTTGGATAGTAATTTTTAATACATTTTTTAATCACCTTTCTACCTTACATATATTAAATCTTTACTGTAATTTTTTTACAAAAAAAATCTAGAAAAATACAATCTAAACACAAAAATTGATATTTCAGGGAGATTTCTGAAATTATCCCATATATTAAACAGTAAACCACAAAGTGGGCTTGTTGGACCAGTCGTACCTGTCTGTCTGTCCATATGTTTTAATATATTGCCAGTAGCAGTAAGCAGATCAATTTCGTACGCAAGCGTCGTCTTACACCTCCGTCGACGTACCTTCTTGGATTGCGTGTGTTGTCGATCTTCTAGCATACTGCAGTAATAATTCAGAAAGAAAACTGCTGAAATTGGCCCGAGCTTCAATATTTCATCCGCCATCACACGCTATAAAATCCCCACTTCTTCTTTGCCAATTTCGTGTCTTTTTGTTTTTTTTTTTTTTAAATTCGGCTATTCTAGCTACATCATCATCCTCGGCTTATTTCAGGCGAAAAACCGGTGGGGGCTGCTGAAGAGGACATGGCTTCCGACGAGAAATCGGTCCAGCTCAAGTCCGACGCCCTGATGGAGCAAATGAAGATCCACCTCACAACTGACGCCGGTAAAGCCCTCACCAAGAAAATTGGCCTTGTTTACCAGCTTAATATTGCCCCTAAGGTCCGTTTTTCTTCCCCCTGCGAAAGACAAAACTCCTGCTTTCTATTATGTTTGCATCTGGCTTTTGTTTTTTTGCTTTTTCACCCATTTGGTTAATTGGGTTTTTTTTTTTTTTTTGTTTTAATGTCTTTTTGGATTGCAGAAACTTGGATTCAATGAGGAATCTTATGTTGTTGATCTCAAGAAAGGAGAAGTTAAGAAAGGTTTGAGCTTTATTTTTTTTTCCTGGTTTTCAAGTTTTCTAATTTAATTTCCTTAATTTGCAAGAATTGGGCTAGACTGAATTCTCAATTTCCTTACTTTACTTCCATTTTGTTTGTAAATTGAAAAAATTCCACACGTAGGAGTAGTATACTGTACACTGTACTGTTCTATAGCTTCAAGTCAATTTGAGTGATCTAACTATATGCTGGACCTCATTATTTAAATTTATGGTAACGTTGCATAGATATATTGATCATAGCCTGACTCTTACTGATATTTAGCATCTGATCCCCCAACATGATACAAAAGTGGAGATTAAGATCCAATTTTTGCAAACAAGATTGGAGTTTGTGAGATTTGTGTTCCCTTTTATAATTTGCATTTGGCTAATTTATTTCGATTATTTCCTGTTTTTGGGTATATAGGGACATATGAGGATGGAAAACCAGATGCGACTTTTTCTTTCACTGACAATGATTTTATCAAGATTGCCGCTGGAAAGATGAATCCCCAAATTGCTTTTATGAGGTGGGAAAATTTTGCTACTACTTATTGTTGACCGTTAAGGATTGTGCAATGATTGGAACTCTTGATGGTGCTTTTTCTTTAACTCTGTTGTACAGAGGGGCCATGAAGATCAAGGGAAGCATTAGTGCGGCACAGAAGTTTACACCAGACATTTTTCCAAAGCCTGCAAAGATGTGATGAGATTGATGATTGGTTAATTCTGATGATAAGCTGAGCTCTTGTATTCCCTTGCCTCAGTGTTTCAAGTTGTTACTCTTCAGCATTGTGCAAGCATGTGGTGGAAAACAAAAACTAGTTCAATTGCTAGGCCAATTTCTCTTACAAAAGGGCTCCTCTTTACTGTGTAACTTGCTTCAGAATTTCAAATAGAAAATTTATGACACATTTATCATGTGAATGCTATTATTGCATGCTTCATGGTTTAGTCTTCACTTGGATGTGAAGAAAATAAATTTCTGGCGCTGAGTACCCTTTTGTAAGTTCTTCTGGTTTAGTCTAGGCTTTGAAGCATACATGCTTTGCTTATTAAGAATTTTGGTGGAAAAGGAAGGAAAGTTACAGAAAGCTGTTGCTAGAGAATGTTCATTGGTATTTCAATATACCAGAAAATTGGTGATTGTTTTCTGTACTTGATGATGTGTGGCCTGATTTATTCCATTCCTTGCTGGATTAATCATATCTTGTATACTATGTTGGCCTACTGCTCTTTCTTTTTCTTAGAATCGGAACATTGTTAGGACAACAAAAGTAAAGTCAGAGGGGAAACTGGTAATCTTTTGCTTGGGTGTTCCTTTACAGGCAATCCTTTTTTCTTTAAACTATAAATCTCTTTGTTTGAGGGTGTTCCTTTAGTAGGCAACCCTTTTTTCTTTAAAATATAAGTCTCTTTTTTTTTATACTTGCAATTTGATCTGTTGTTATTTTTTTAATTATTTATCAACTTTCTCATAAATTACCGTGAGTAAAGGCATTCTAGCAGGAAGTAAGTTTCATCTTCTGCATTCCTACCATTGAATATAGGCTGAAGCTGCAATGCATTGCCATAATGGTATTCATTCTCCAGGAAATGGAAATGACTTCTTAACTGAGAGACCATCGGTGAATTTGAGCTGTCTCTTCTGTTTATAATGCAGAGAACTTGATATTTTATTTAAGGTTACAATTGAAGATAAAGATCAGCTTGCCGAGCAAATTGACTGGTCCTTTTAGGAGGAGTTAATTTGGTCACATACCTTGGAACTGGTTTATGTCGTTCACTATAGTAGGAGAGATGATAATTAAATTTGACGAGCTGTCTAGAGTCACGTTAGCACTGAAGGCTTCTTCTGTGTTGGTGCTCAATTAATTTTTTCTTGCTTTCTTTTGTTTTATTGTTCTTATGGTTTGGGGATCACAGCCTGTCAGGGCTTCAGTCGAGTTCTTGGACTGTAAAATGTCCCTTTTATCTTTTAAATCCAGAACAGCTTGATAATAGAAATTAATAAGTACTGTGCCTAGCCTAGAAAACCGTGATTAAGTCATACGTGGAATCATACATGTCATGACAAAGAAGGGAATTAATTCTGGCCACGGTGGAAGTGGAAGGTCAGGCTACAATTTGGGAAGCAAACACAATTGTCAAAAGAATTACACTTGGGTGCAGGGCTAGTGGCGTCAAGACTTGATCCGGCTACAAATTTTTGTTCTCCTGTGATAAGACAGTAGATTCCAAAAGCCTATCATCCTATACCTAAAGACTGCTGTTACACGGTGAACATGTGCTGGGTTTGGGTTAGGTGACTGGCTCAATTTGGTCAGGTACATTGTCAGCCTGTTTGGATGGCCATTTTCTGTCAAAAAAAAATTGCGTTGTTTTTCGTGATCACATTTCCTTATTATCTTTTTTCTTCTCATACATCAAATCGTTACAGTAATGTTTTCATGAAAAATGACAGAAAATGCAATCCAAACGGAATAGGATGTCAATAAATAATGAGTTGCAGAGTTTGCACGCTGTAAATTAGCTTTGTCCTCTCATCCCTTTTTTCTTCTCTTTGGTGTTGGGATCCTGGAAGAAAGAAGGAAAACAGAAGGGTCGTGGCCACACAATGAGAAAAGGTTAGTGCAGTATGTGAAATGGATTACAAGACTAGTTAAATACGTAGAATGGGAAATGAGACGGAAGGGTGAGCTCTGAATAACTGTTGTTTGCCATATTCTCTGGTATAAATTCATCAAGTCCACGAAGAATATCAAGAGGAGCCTGACTGGTAGTGGGTCTCGGATGAAATAAATCAACCGGAGTTAGGAGCGCATCTTTTCAAGAAAGTTTGTCCGGCTGCATATAATACTTGGTCAAGTAGCCCTGCGGGATGAGTCTTGAGACTTGACGTACGTCACGCACTTAACATCCAATCCAACAAGATAAACAGACAAAAACACAGACGTTTTGTAGAAAACTCCTGCTCTAATCCTACTTAGTTTCACAATGTTCCCGGGCGTTATCAGTGTGAACAGATGGCTACTTTTCCATTTTTTGTGCGCATGATATTTCAAGCAAAGAATTCAAGTTCATCGGCATCATTTCATTCCATGTACGCACGCCTTTACCTGTTTAGCCAACAAATAAGTGGAAAATCTTCTATATATACACGGTCCTCAATCCTCATCCTTGCATCCATGTTTCAGATTTCATTCCATATACACCTTTAGCAGTTTAGTCAATAGCAAAGTGGAAAATCTTCTATATATACACGGTCATCAATCCATGTTTCATTGAAGGACCTGCAGGTCTTAGTTCTGTATTGCATCCACCCCATGAAGAATCTTATGATTTCTTTAGCTTATTTCTTTCTTATTGCCGGTGTACGCTTTTTCCCTAACGTCGCAGCTCAAACGTTGTTGTTTCAGGTACAAATGATTTCTCTGCTAACACAGCTTGTTTCTTTCATATATATATATATGCATCCTTAGTCCTTACTACTAGTTTCTTTCATTTGAATTCAGGGGTTCAATTGGGAATCTAGCAACAAGCAAGGTGGATGGTACAACTTCCTCCTGAACGAGATTTCAGACTTAGCCAGTGCTGGGGTCACTCATGTTTGGTTACCCCCACCTTCTCATTCTGTGGCACCTCAAGGTTAGATTATACCTTCAAGTCCTTTCTTTTTTCCTTTTGCTTCCGTATATATTAATGCAGGAGATGATATTTGGGATATTAATTTTGTGGGATGAGGAGCTCTAAAAAAATTCTGTTTTCTTCCTCCATTAATTTTTGCAGGATATATGCCAGGGAGGTTGTATGATCTTGATGCATCCAAGTATGGGAACAAACAACAATTGAAAACGTTGATCAAGGCTTTCCATGACAAAGGGATAAAATGTGTGGCTGATATAGTCATAAACCACAGATGTGCTGATAAACAAGATAGCAGAGGAATTTACTGCATCTTCGAGGGAGGGACTCCTGATGACCGTCTTGATTGGGGACCGTCCTGCATTTGCAAAGATGATGTTCAGTATTCTGATGGAACTGGGAATCCTGATACTGGAGATGGTTTTGGGGGTGCTCCTGACATTGATCATCTCAATTCAAGAATACAGAGGGAGTTATCGGACTGGATGAACTGGCTCAAGTCTGATATTGGATTCGATGGTTGGCGTTTTGATTTTGTCAGGGGGTATGCCCCGAGCATCACCAAAATTTATATGCAAAACACTAAACCTGGCTTTGCAGTAGGGGAACTGTGGGATTCCCTTTCCTACGGGCAGGATGGAAAGCCGGATTACAACCAGGATGGTCACAGGAATAGATTAGCCCAGTGGGTCCAAAATGGGGGTGGAGCTGTAACTGCATTTGATTTTACTACCAAAGGGATTCTTCAGGTTGCGGTACAGGGGGAGCTGTGGAGATTGAAAGATTCCAATGGAAATCCCCCAGGACTGATTGGGATTTTGCCTCAAAATGCCGTCACCTTTATTGATAATCATGATACTGGCTCTACTCAGAAGCTTTGGCCATTCCCATCAGACAAAGTGGTGCAAGGATATGCCTACATTCTCACCCATCCTGGAATTCCATCTCTGGTAAGTGCTAAATACTAATACAAGGATGAATACTGGTAGAATTTATGGCCTTTTGTTTTCTCTAACACAAGAAGTTGCTCTCTCTTTGGTAGTTCTACGACCACTTGTTCGACTGGGGACTGAAGGATGGGATCACTAAATTATCTACCCTGAGGATCAGGAATGGGATTACAGCAACCAGTAAAGTGCAGATTTTGGCCTCAGATTCTGATCTTTACGTGGCAAAGGTTGATGACAAAATCATTGTCAAGATTGGGCCAAAGCTTGATCTTGGTAATCTTATTCCCCCAAATTACCAGGTTTCAACTTCTGGGAACGACTATGCTGTCTGGGAGAGAAAAGCATGAATTTGGTCACTATTGGTATGATGTATAAACCAACCAATAGAGTGTTTGATATGTACTACGACGTCTAATTGCTAATCTGGAAAATAATGAAGAAGGTCATAATTGCTAATCTTCAATCTTTCAAGTAGGAGGAAATTCCAATTCTTCTTTCATTTGCATTCAATCAAAGCCCCCGTTTTGGCCTATTCACTGGTACACTGGACGCTACAAGTAGCAGTCCCTTTACCGGTAAGTGAAAAGGCTAGTAGCTGCTTATAGTTATAGGAGCCCCCGCTGAATTTAAGAAGCCGGTTGAAAATGAAGAGGAGAAGCGCGCAGTGGCTGATTAAAAGTCAAAAACAAACCTAATCTATGGACCTTTCAAAATATTTTCATATTGCTCTAATAATTTTTTCTCCTTATCATGTGAAATGAGCGATACGTTCTCCTCTATCTAAATTTTTTCTCCTCTATCATGGGGATAAAATTTATCGAGACATATATCCATGAATATATAATAAATTTCATTATTATGCTAGGGATATTGATTTTTTAAACACTATTATTCATCTTGAATATACAAAAAGAAAATGAAGTTGACTAATGGTTTTAGAAACAAATTAAGAAAAAAAAAAGGTGATATCAGAGGATTTATTAGAATTAACCCCGAGAGGTTTTTAACATACCTGTAATGCGCAACGTTAGAGTTAACCAATGATTTAGGGGGTAAAGTGAAAAAAAAAATAATAATATTAGGAGATAAAGTGAAAAACTAGTTAAATCTTAGAGAATTTTTAGATGATAGAATAATAAATATACAATAATCACTACATCCATACTCTGCACTCTCATGTTTATGTAACTACTGCAACTATTATATATCACTCCCGCACTCGTACATTGAAATAACTGCTACTACCATACTTATTTACTGTTATTGTATTTATCCCAAGTCTTCCTACCAACTTTAATAAAAAAAAAAAAAAATCTCATAATTAATTCCTTTGCCCACTAGCTAGGATAAAACAAAAATAAATAGTAGCGTGAAAAAGAGCTGAAAACGACGACATTGCGAATGATTGCCTTGGCCGGTTTGCCCCCTTTGGGTCATCGTTTCAAAATTTCAAACTCCCGCTCAGATAGTTATAGTACTGCGGACTGCAGTATAGTAATACTACTCAGTGGTCAGCACCGGGCCGGGTGACGCCGCATACCTGTTTTGCAATCCAATCTCTTTCTCGCCGTCTCTGTGAACCAACCAGCAAACGGGATCGTTTCTCAAGCATAATGGGGGCCAATCACAGCCGTGAAGACCTGGATCTCTCAGACTCCGACTCCGACTCCGAATCACAAACCCCAGAAGCCCACCGAGAGGAAGACGAAGACAACTTCGAAGACGCTAAAACGCCATCGTCCTTCGAGCCCAAAACCCCATCCTCTTTGGATCATGTTGAAGCCAAGCTCAAAGCTCTCAAGCTCAAGTACAACAACAACTATAGCAAGGAGTCCGACCCGACCCGTAAGAACGCCGTCAAACTCTTCATCCACGTCGGCGGCAACACGTCTAATTCCAAATGGGCTGTAGCTGAAAAATCTGCCACTTATTGCTTTGTCAAAACCCACAGCGAAAATGGCTCGGACGAAGAAGAGGATGAAGAATGCGAGGAGAATTCCTGGTGGATTTTGAAAATTGGGTCAAAAATCCGGGTCAAGATTGATCAGAATTTGCAATTGAAGGCGATTAAGGATCAGAGGCGGGTTGACTTTGTGGCTAATGGGGTTTGGGCTGTGAAGTTTTATAGTGAAGAAGATTATAACTCATTTTTTGACAAATTTCAAGACTATTTGTTCGAGAATACTTATGGTTACGAAGCTAATGATGAGAATAAGGTTAAGGTTTATGGGAAGGATTTTATCGGTTGGGCAAAGCCTGAAAAAGCTGATGATTCGATGTGGGATGATGCAGAAGATAGTTTCTTTAAGACCCCTCAATCAGCTTTGAAAACTCCATTGAGGGATGGAAATGATTTGACAGAGGAATTTGAGGAGGCAGCTCCCAATTGTGGGGCAATTCAGAGTTTGGCATTGGGTGCTTTGGATAATAGTTTCTTAGTAAGCGATACGGGGGTTCAGGTCGTGAGGAATTATAGTCATGGGATTCAAGGAAAAGGGGTCTATGTGAATTTTGACAATGGAAGGTCTAATGGGAGCTTTTCAAATGGTATAGCTCATTCAACCCCTAGGAAAGCTGTGCTAATGAGAGCTGAAACTAATATGCTTCTCATGAGTCCAATGACTGATGGTAAGCCTCATACAAGAGGGTTACATCAGTTGGATATTGAGACAGGAAAGATTGTCACTGAGTGGAAGTTTGGGAAGGATGGAACTGATATCACAATGAGGGACATTACTAATGATAGTAAAGGAGCTCAAATGGATCCCACTGGCTCTACTTTTTTGGGATTGGACGATAACAGATTGTGTAGGTGGGATATGCGTGATCGAAATGGTATGGTGCAGAATCTTGCAAATGAAAGTACACCTGTATTGAACTGGGCTCAAGGGCATCAGTTTTCGAGAGGGACTAATTTTAACTGCTTTGCAAGTACTGGTGATGGATCAATCGTGGTTGGATCACTTGATGGGAAGATTAGACTGTACTCTATCAATTCTATGAGGCAGGCGAAGACTGCATTTCCAGGGCTTGGTTCTCCGATTACTCATGTGGACGTGACCTTTGACGGGAAGTGGATATTAGGGACAACTGACACCTATTTGATTCTCATATGCAGTCTATTCACTGACAAGGATGGGAAGACCAAGACCGGTTTCTCTGGTCGTATGGGGAATAGGATCTCAGCTCCAAGATTGTTAAAGCTCACTCCTTTGGATTCACACATGGCAGGAGTGAACAACAAATTTCGCAATGCTCAATTCTCTTGGGTATTCCTTTTGATTTTCTCCATATTGTGCTGCCTGCTTAGATGATTACTTTTGTGTCTTGGTTCAGAAAGAGTTATTGTTTGCCTAATTTGCTCATATATGATAGTATAAGAGTGAACTGCTTGGTCCGCTCAAAGAGCCTGTTGTTGCTTATGTTTTACATGGTAACTGTATACTCCTATTATTAGCTTTTCCTTGCTTGTAGTTAGTTATGCGATATTATTACTCACGGAAACTATTAATTTGAAAAGTCAATCACTTTCTCATATTGTTGAACTTGAAATTCCAACTGTCATAATAGATTAACATGTTGTAGTTGCCTTGATTTTTCAATATATGCATGGATAGGATCTTGAATCTTCCGTTTTTGAGTTCATGAAAAGGTGATGTTCAAGCTCATTTTGGGTATGTCCATTCAATAGAGGTAAAAAAACAGAGAGATATATGTTGGCTATTCCATTAATCATGTCTTCACTCTGTCTTACTTATGTTTGCCTGTAAACATAGTATAAATGTTATGTCATATTTTGTGTACTTGCGATCCGCAATCTAAAATGCAGTTGGCAATAAGAATATGGAGGCCATTCTGCTAATCGTGTCTTTACACTGTCTTATTTATGTTTAGCTGTGGTATAAAACCTATTGCATATTTTGTGTAGTTGCAATGTATAATCTAAAATGTAGTTGACAAGAAAAACTGAAAGGCAGTGAAAACGTTTGTCTCTTTTTAGCTTTCTGTGAAGTTTACATGAACGTTGTCTTTTCCTGGCAATGTTATAATGTTATTGTAGATCAGAATACTTCTGCAATCCTACTCTTTTTTATTGTCTAAAGTTTCAATGGATGGAAACTGATTTCCAGTTTTAATAGATGTATGTTCCCATGTATTCATACACACCACATACAATTGTTGTGCACATTCTATTTGTGTGAGAGAGGAACTAGAACTTTTGCCTGTCAAATTTGATTACTCTTGATATCTGCTATGATCAATCAACGCAAACTTGGTATTTTGTAGTTTTATTTCCCTCAGAGTTTTTTTAACTTTATCCCTCATATTGTCTTTCTAATAGTTAAGTATACTTGTACAAGACTTAAGCTCAATCAATTATGAAACCAAATCAATGAACTGCATTTATGCTTCAAAGAAAGGTTATTCCATGAGTATCATGTGGATAAAATGAAGATATTGTGTGGGTAGTTGCAGGTCTATTTTTGACTTTGACATTGTCGATAAATATATATTAAAAAGAGTTTTTGATTAAAACTTTAAGTACTTTTTGGATTAAAACTTTAAGCACTCCATTTTCAGGTTAACTACTAATCACATGTCAATTCTCCATTTTTGTGTTCAGAGTTTTAATCGTTTCTAACTAGGCAAGACAGTAAATCGTGTTCACAAGGAGATTTCATTCTTCTATTATTCATTCTACTATTTGAACCCCATTTCCATTGCGATTAAGTCCTTTTTCACATGCATTTCTCAGGTGACAGAGAACGGGAAGCAGGAGCGCCATTTGGTTGCTACTGTTGGCAAGTTTAGTGTTATATGGAACTTCCAACAGGTTAAGGATGGTTCTCATGAATGTTACCAAAATCAAGTTGGCTTGAAGAGCTGCTACTGCTACAAGATAGTTTTAAAGAATGATTCGATTGTGGATAGTCGCTTCATGCATGAGAAGTTTGCTGTTAGCGACTCCCCTGAAGCTCCGTTGGTGGTTGCAACCCCCTTGAAAGTCAGTTCATTCAGCATATCCAGCCGGCGCTTGAACCTCTAAACAAAGCTCTTGTTTGGATGTGTCCACATTTATTCAATGTCTGTGTGTTCTCCTGAACGTCTCAGTATCCTCTGCGTTGTTCTCACTAAGCACGCAACGCTGTTGCAGAATTTCACCTTTCATTTGTACTTTTCCTAAGTTTTAGTAAGATCATGTTGAAAGCGGTCTTCGATGAAGGCAACCTTATTGTTGTTGTAGAACTGGCAAAAGTATTAGATAGGAGTATTTGAAATTTATGACCATGTACTCTCTGAATTTAATTTGTAAGGATATATTATAATTTCCGTTCTTATTTTCACTTCTCCTGCAACCAAACTTCAGATTCCTCTATGAGGTGAAGATATTGCTATTATTTTCAAGCTTGAGTTCTAGGTAATTCCACTTCCTGCCTCCACATTATAAAGATTGATAATATTTTTTTATTTCTATACCATGGTTTTTGCTGATGCATCCTGTTTCATAATTGACATGGCAGTCTTATTTTGTAAAACGTTAAAAGTTCGGAATTCTGGTCTGAAAATGAGCTTGGCATATACAAATGTATGGCTTCTATCTGAATTCTTGGATGCGTGGTTTGATAATTCCATTGTACACCAAGCCAATGGTTTCAGTGAAAAAGGATAAGTGGGGCCGTGCTATCTTCTCTTTGTCAAGCAGTGAACTATATGCCCTAAAACTTTGGCCCCTTCCTGTTGTTATCTGGGCCACAAAATAGAAAGACAAAGATGGATATTGCTTTGAGTAGAGGCTCCCAAATTCTGGCATTCAATGCATCTTCTTCCGTTTCTGCAAAGAGTTCACGAAGAAGTTCATTAGCTATTACTGATACAAGCTGGCCTGCAAAAGGAGTAGGACCTTCTCTCAGTCACCTCCAAACTGTAGTAGTTCGAGCTGAGAAACGCCCCACGTGGCTCCCGGGGCTTGAACCTCCACCTTATCTTGATGGAACGTGAGCCCATTTCTTGTTCTATCTATCCAATATTGGTATAGAATCCCTAGTCTGCATGTGGTGTGTCTTTGTCCATTTCCTGTAGTACATAATGCTGTTTTGCAGACTTGCTGGAGATTTTGGGTTTGATCCACTGGGGCTTGGGGAGGACCCCGAAAGCTTGAAGTGGTATGTACAGGCAGAACTGGTTCATTCTCGCTTTGCTATGGCTGGAGTTGCCGGAATTCTTGTAACTGATGTACGTTAGTGATACTGGACTGCAAACTCCGAATCTCCACTCTTTGTTCTTTGTATCTGGCACTTCATTGCTTCACAATTGCTTTGCTTTATTAGCTTAGATATTCGAATCTGTTTTTTAGTGTTATTAAGTTTGATCTACACTTGATAGCATTCACAAATGTATAATACAATCTTCCCAATGATGTTTTGATCTGTTAGCGTTGGTGCTAGCTTTTGAAACTCTTGCTCGTCCTCCATTTTCCTGCTGCAGTTGCTTCGTGTAACAGGAATAAGAAACTTGCCAGTTTGGTATGAAGCTGGTGCGACAAAATTTGATTTTGCTAGTACCAGATCACTGTTGATCGTTCAGCTAATACTAATGGGGTATTTTGACTTAATCCACAATGCCAGTGACTCAATTGCAAGGCTGCAATTGGAATTGAAATCTTTATGAAAGAAACTACTTATTTTCTCCTACCTTCATGTTTTTCTCAGGTTCGTTGAAACAAAGAGATATATGGATTTCAAAAACCCTGGATCTCAAGCCAAGGAGGGAACTTTCTTTGGGTTAGAAACTGCACTTGAAGGCCTTGAACCAGGGTAAAACTCTTCCAGACTATTGCATTTTCACTTGTTACTTCAAAATTCTTCCGTCATGGCTAGAATCTATTGTGCTTGAGAACCACTTAGAATTTGACGTTGTAGTCCTTGAGATTTTAAGTGGTCATCGTTTTCTGCTGTTTGAGCAGGTACCCAGGTGGCCCTTTGTTGAATCCTCTTGGCATTGCTAAGGACATAAAGAATGCTCATGACTGGAAGCTCAAAGAGATAAAAAATGGTTAACTTATTTAGCATAATATAAAATTCCACGATTCCTCTTCCTTCCTAGATACTAATTTTTTTTCTTTAGTGTCAGTAGGAGAGTTCGAATATGAGATCTATCACTTACATGCCATGCTCACAAACCGCCCAACCCAACCCAAGCCTCCCCCAAGATACTTTTCCTGTTTACCATGATGCAATCCACGTAAAAAATGAGTGTCTTTTCTGCAGGAAGGCTAGCTATGGTGGCAATGCTAGGATTTTTTGTTCAAGCTTCCGTGACTCATGCTGGCCCTATCGATAATCTCGTGGAACATCTTTCAGATCCATGGCATAAAACCATTATTCAAACACTTGCTGGTTCTGGTTCTTGATTTCAGTCAAATGTAAAGCCCACTGCGTGTCTGTGTAGTCCCCCCCCCCACCCCCCCTTTTTTTTGTTTAATCTTTTCGGTTTGGAATTGAAATGTGGGCTATCATTTAGCGCCACATAATGAAGCTGATTTTCTTTTGATTTGAGCAGTGAACGTGTATAAGTTTGAACTCTTAAAAACAAAAATGCAAGACACAAATATCAAAAGAAAATGTATGTGCTGCAGCAGATTGACTGAAGGCAAGGTCATTGGACCTGCCAGCGAAATTTCTTTTTAGCAGTCATCAGGTGATGAGGTGTTCCATGCAATCTAGATCAAAAGCCTTGAGATCAATCGATTCCTAGACAAAAGTTTGAAGACAAAATGAGAAGATCTTAACTGAATGCTTTAAAATAGTAAAAGCAGCGCCTAATGCTTCCAATGTATAGGTTACTCACCAAACGAGAAACTGAACACTTCAAAAATCCTTTGGAATAACATCAGATGCCACAATAATTCGTACAATTGCAAATTGACCTGATTTTGTACATTTTCTTGGTATGCTTATTCATATAAAGCATTTCAATGGATTCAATAATAATAAATTCTGGAGAGACAAAAACAAGAAGTTGATACATTAATAAACAACAATGTTCCAGGATGTCAAAACTGTAACCTGCAAAAACTGCGAGAATCAACACTCACAAGCAGCAGTCAAATATATTACAGAACCGCCTTATTGTTTCTATAACCAAACCAATAAAAGAAAAACCTGGTTTTTGTAATCCTCTAATCAGCCCCAATAGCAAGTGAAATTTTAATCCCATCAACTTATTGCACATAAAAAACTCAACATGTACAATGTACATATACTGTTAGAAATTACTTTCCCAAGAGAAACCAATAGAAATAGCCAACTAAATAGCAACATAGCAATAATGAGAAACGTGATTTAGATACCTAAATAAGGTACTTATGCTGACTTAGTTTGTGTCTTCTTTCTTGCCAAAAACATGAAGATGCGTGGGAAGAATGATCTCTTCTTCTTCTTTACAACCTTGACTTCAGGTTCTGGTGAGGATTCAGTTTCTGTGTTGCTTCCATTCAAATGTGCCTTTGGGCTCAGCCTCTGATGAATTCCAGCGGCATCAGGTCCTTGATTGAAGTTCTTGGTTTCTTGTCTGTCCTCAAAGCTTGCTCTTGGACTCTTAGTTGGGTTTGCCACCGGAACTGATTCTGCTGCTTTCCTTCTCTGCTCATGCTCTGCCCTCCACTTTCTCAGCTCCTGTTCTACACCCAATTTCCCTTCCTTGGCTTGTTCTGCCTTCTGCAATGCAAGTTCCAGTGCTGATTTTCTTTCAGCCAATTCACGGTTGACTTCCTCCAGCTGATTCAAGGTCCTCAATTCAGACTCTTTAGCCACCTCAATCTGGGACATAGCAGCTGCCACCCTCATGTTAGCCTGTTCCTCTGCATCATGTGTCCTCTTGCTCAGCTCGTAATACTCTTCTAAAGAAAGAGTAACTCCAGTAGGTGTATCCTCATCATTTGTGCTTTGAGCTGATTCACTCTCTTGCAATGCATTGATAGCTGCAAGTGCCAATTTCTCTGAAGCCTTTGCAGCCTCTATTTCCTTTTGAGCTGCATGTAATCTACTCTCTATTGTACTTGCTCCTGCCTTTGCTTGCTCTGCTTCCTCCTTTGCCTTCCTTAACTCTTCACGAGCCATTTGAGCAAGTGATTTTGCCTCATCAGCCTGGTGAGCTGCCTCCTGTAGTTGCTTGGGCAGTTCCACCATTTTTTCTCTAGCTTCCTTCTCCTTCATTTGAACAAGAGCAATCTCTGACTTTGTCCTATCAATCTCTGCCTCAAGAGATGCAACCGCGACTGATGCCATTCCTTCTCTCTGCCTAATAGCGGCAAGTTCTGCTTTTTCCTTTTCTAGTTCTGACTTCAATGATGTAGCCGCCACCTTCAAGCAATTTACTTCATCTGTTGCTTTCTCAATGTTGAGCTTAACTTCTTCCAGTTCCTTCTTGGCAAAATCAACTGCTGCTTGTATATCACTGTGAGTTCTTCTCTCTGATTCGACCAGCCCATCTTTGAAGTTTCCTTCATTATTTTCCTCTTTTAGCTTTGACTCCATATAAGCTGCCAATTCAGCTTTTAATTCCTGCAGTAATGTTGAAGCCGTATCCAACTTTGACTTGAGATCCCTTGCTAAGACTATTTGTTGGTTTAGTTTCTCCAGCTCCTCTTCAGCCTGCTTCAATTCTTTCTCCCAGTTTAAGGTATCCTGCTCTTTGGCCATAGCTGCTCCAATCCTATGTTCCTCTGCCTCAAGATGTGCAGCATGTGCAGACTCCAAGGATTCTTTTGCAGTAATCAGCTCAATTGTCAAATCCTCGACCGTCTTTTCAACTTCTTTTGATGCAGAAACAGCTTCTTCTGCTTTCTTCACTGCTACATCTTTCTCAGTCACTAATACAGTATAGTCTTTGAGAAGTGCTTCCAACTCATCTTTCACAGATTTCAATTCTGTAATTGCAGCTGCATGCCTGGCTCTTGCGACCTCCAGCTGAGCCTTGGCTGCAATGCTAGCCTCATCAGCAATTCCTTGTTCCATCTCTTCCACCCTGAGTTTAGCAAGTTCAGCATCTTGCTTTGCTTGTTGCTCTTCTGTTTGTACCTTCTCCAGGTTGAGCTTCAGTTCTTCGATAAGTCTTTTAGTGCTCTCTAGCTCCTTCAGGACATGTACTTTTGCATCTTCAGCAGCGTCACACTTGTTCTTATACAATGGAATCTCCTCTTGTACTTTCTCCAGTTCTTGTTCTATTAACTTGCGTCTCTGCAGATTGAAAGCAAATTCAGAGCTACCAATAACATATTACTAATGATTACAGAAAAGCATATACTGCAGAACAAAAAACATTTACACCAGAATAAAAAAAGACAAAAGGTATCTTGATTTTATATACTACTGCTGCTTATCTCGAGAGCCAATGGAATATGAAATTTTTTAATAGAAGATGATGATAATATGGTTATTTAAAAGCTGGACCATGACAGTGATAGACAACAGTGTAGGAGTTGGAAGAAATTTTACCTCCACAGTCTGCATTCTATGGGCCTTCCAATCAACAATACCCCCAAATTTTGAAACAGCATGTTTTACGGATTCAATAGGTGCTGCCGTATCAATTTGGCCTCTGTTTATATCCATACTCTGAGGAGTTTTAGGGCTGCCAGCAGACTGTTGTGCTCTGCTTATGGTTCTGGAAACTTTGGAAACAGGACTGTTTGACGCTATCACATGATTCGTACCTTCATTCTCTCTGACATGACAAGATGACGCAGAAGGTATAGCATCACGACCATGAGTGCTCCTAGGGGAATCAACTGCCTGAGAAAGGTGTCTGGCAGCTCCTGCATTTTGTCCCACTTTAATAGGTGGAACTGAGACAGTGAATTCTTTTATGTTTTGTATCTGAGATGCCTCCAAAACCGAATTCCCATGTGCATGCCCATTGGAAGTATCATTTGATTCAATATGAGTACTATCAGGTGACCCAATTTCTAAAGATTGTTGCACAATTTCACTTGGTTTTGCTTCTAATGTATATGATGGAACAGATTTTGAAATAATTGTTGAAGTGTCATCTTTTTGAGTCTCCTGTTCCCCTAGTATGTTTGTTGATGAATGTGAGATTGACTTCTCAACTTGAGTGACATCAGAAGTACGTTCCGGATTTTCTGATGGAACAGATGGACCGTCTGCAAGAAAAGAGACATCTGACATATCCTTTGGATGTTCTAATGCAGAAATATCCGTCTGTGGTTGCTGACATTCAGATTCCACCTTCCCGTTAGTATCTGTTGGGATATGACTATTTGTTTGATCCTCATGTGTGGAGGAAACAATTGGTGTGGTAGAAGACTCTGCAAGAACATTTTCCTCCATCTTTTTCACATCCTCCATTCCAAGTCCTATGAAGAGCTGAATGGGTACCTGAAATTCAAGAATCTTAAAAAATAAAAACAAATTGAATGCAGTAATGTGAATAT